GTATTGACAAGTTAGCTAGTGGGTTTGTCTGTTTCTTCTCCCAGTTCTGTCAGTTTTTGCTCACATATTTTTAAGCTCTGTTATTAGGTGCACAAACATTTAGAATTATTATGTTTTCTTTGTGAGTTAATTACCTTATTATGAAATGAACTTCTGTGATAGTATTTTTTGCTGTGAAATCTACTTTATTTGATGTTAACAGAGCCATTCCAACTTTGTAAAAAAGTGTTTATTGATTTTAGAGAGAAGTGATGGAAGGGAGGGAGAAAGGGAGGCAGGGTGGGGGAGAGAAACATTGATATGAGAGAAAAATTTGTTGTTTGTCTTCCATATGCGCCCTGATCAGGAATCAAACTCAACCTTTTGGTGCATGGAACAGTGCTCCAAACAACTGAGCCACACCAGCCAGGGCCCAGCCTTCTTTTGATGAGTGTTAGCATGGTTTGTCTTTTTCTGTCCTTTACATTTTAAAACAGCTGTATTTTAACAGCTTTACTTATTTCAATACTTCACATACCACACATTTCCCTTATTTTAAGTATTCAATTCAGTGGCCTTTGGTGCATTCACAGAGTTGTGCAGCCGTCACCACAACCCATGTTAGATACCCTGAACCCCTCCCGACTCCAACCTCCCAACTCCATCTCTAGCTTAGGGCAACCACTAATCCATTTTCTGTCTCTATAGATGTGCCTGTTTGGGACATTTTATATATAGTAAATGGTATTATACAACAATATATGGTCCTTCATGACTGTCTTTTTTCAGAATGTTTTAAAAGTTCATGTATGTTGTGTCATGTATCGGTGCTTCATTGCTTTTAATTACCAAGTAGTATTCCATTTGATGGATAGACAACATTTTATTTTTCCATTGATCAGTTGGTGGACATTTTGGATTGTTTCTACTTTTTGGCTATTACAGACATTTTTTAAAAGATTTTATTTATTTATTTTTAGAGAGGGAAGGGAAGGAGAAAGAGAGAGAGAGAGAAATATCAATGTGCGGTTGCTGGGGGTCATGGCCTGCAACCCAGGCATGTACCCTGACTGGGAATCGAACCTGCGACACTTTGGTTTCCAGCCCGCGCTCAATCCACTGAGCTACGGCCAGCCAGGGCACAAACATTTTTTTAAACAGCAAGTTTTTGTGTGGCTGTATATTTCTATTTCTCTTAAATCTGTGCCTAGGAGTGGGATTGCAGAATTACATGGTCACTGTATGTTTAACTTTGTGAGGTACTTTCATTCTGCTTTCCACAGCAGCTTCACCCATGTATGGTTTCCAGTTTTTCCAAATCTTCACCACCACTTATCTTCCATTTAAAAAAAAAATTATGGCCATCCTTGTGAGTGTGAGGTGCTGTCTCATTGTGGTTTTGACTTGCATTTCCCTAATGTCTAGTAATATTGAACATCTTTTCATGTACTTTTTGGCCATTTATTTATGTTTTTTGAGAAATGTCTATTCAAGTTCTTGTCCCTTTTTTAATTGGATTGTTTATTATTTTATCATTGAATTTTAGGAATTCTTTATATGTTCTAGGTAGTAGAAGCTTATCAGATATAATATTTAAAATAGTTTCTTCTAATGTATGAGTTGTCTTTTCACTTATAGTATCTTCTGATACACAGAGTTTTAAAATTTTGAAGTCCACTTTATCTATTTTTTTCTTTCGTTGTTTATGCTTTTAGTGTCATGTGTAATAGCCCTTTGCTCACAAGGTCATGAAGATATATGTGTTTTCTTCTGGGCATTGTTTTAGATGTCACATTTAGGTCTTTGATCCATTTTGAGTTAACTGTTGTATATGACATATATGAGCCAACTTCATTATTTTGCATGTGGATTTCCATTTGTCTCAGCACCATTTGTTGAAAAATTCTTTCATCGTTTAATTATCTTTGTGCCCTTTTCAAAATCAATTGATCATGTAGGTGAGGATTTATTTCTGGACTCTTCTGTTCCATTGGTTTCTATTGTCTATTCTTAATGTCAGTTCCACTCTGTTTTGACCACTGGAGCCTCATATAAGTTTCAGTCAAAAATCTCAGGCCTCCTACTTTGTTCTTTTTCAGTTTTGTTTTAGCTATTCATATTCCATGTGGATTTCTATTTGTGCAAAAAAAAAGCCATTGGAATTTTGGTAGGGGTTGCATTGAATCTCCAGTTAATTATCTTTTAAGGGGATTTAAATAATAAAAGAAAAACAAGTCTTATATTTACTTACATAGTTACCATTTCTGGTGCTGTTTCCTCCTCCTCATAAATCTACATTTCCACCTGATATATATATTTGTGTTTGCCCAAGGATTTTATTAACATCTTGTGATGCAGGTCTGCTGGTGATAAAAATCTTTTAGCTCTTTTATGTTTGAAGTCTGTATTTTACCTCTGTTGTGAGTAGTTGTCACTTCATGTAGCACTCTGGATAATTGGCTTTTTGTTTTGTGTTTTCCAAGCGGTTGCTCTACTGTCTCTAGGCTTACCAGAGAAACCTGCTGTAATTCTGTTTGCTTCTTTATAAGGAATATTCTTTTTCCTCAGGCTGAGTTTAGTATTTTCTCTGCATTCCTTGTTTTAAACAGTTTTGTGGTATGCCTTGGTGCAGTTTTCTTTATATTTCTGGTCCTTGGGGTTGATGAGATGATAGTGTTTGTGGATTTTACAGTTTCCATCAAATTTGGAAATTTGTCAGCCATTATTTCTTCAAGTATTTTTCTGTCTTCACCCCTACACCAGGACTCTAGTTACCTGTGCATCAGTCTCCTTGAAATCCTACAGCTCACTTGGGTTGTTTGGTATTTTCATCTTTTTTCTGAGCGTTTCATTTTGGGTAGTCTTTTTTACTAGTTCTTCAATTTTCTTATCTTTTCTTCTGTGCCATGTAATCTGCTGTTAATCCCATCCAGTGCCCTTTTCATCTCACACATTGTGCCTCCCTTTTCTATACCTTTGCCTCCTGAGCCTGTGCAGTCATTCCTGGCTAGTGGCCCTGATCTGTCACTGTGTCTCAGGTATCCACGTCCTTGCTGGGCCATACCCTGCCTCGGTGGGCTGTGTGACCTGTGATGGGGTGCTGGATTTTGATTGGGAGATGGTGCTGTTATTCCTGTGTATATTCCATGCTTCATTCTGGGATATAGCTCTTGGATCCTTTCAGGTTTTGCCCTTAAGTTTTGTTGGTTAGGACCAGGGAGGATTTACCTGGCTCTGTTTTGGCCAGGGTCTATGGGAGTGATGGGATGATTCCTTCTGTCCTCCTGGTGGCTCTTTTCCAGCCTTAGTGGCTTACTCACAGGCTTGCACAGACAATTCCCTGTGAAGACTCAGGGCTTCTCTGTCTGCTGGTCTGCTGCCATCACTGCCTGTCTACCTTCTTTCAGCACTTTCTCATCCTCTTAGACCAGCTGACCACTTTGTACTCTTTCTGTTCCATGGCTGGAGTTCCTTCTGGGAGGGGCTGGGGCTGACCTGGAGTTTATATGTGTCCTCCCTCTCACTACCTGGTGTCCAGTGAAAACCAGTGTGCAGTCACATCAATTCCTAGTTATTTTTAGTGTTTCCACATAGGATGTAGATCATTCCCTGCCACAGCTTTGTGTTGATGGTGGGTGGGAAGGTTACAAGTTTTTCATATTTATAGTTGTTGGAAAGCTTCCTGGGTGCTCAGGCTGTCTCCAGCAGGCCTGGACTCGCGTGTGTGTGCATTGCAGCATTGAGCCATTCTGCCTCTGGACAGCCTCTGAGGGTGACTCAGTGCCTCATGGGATGTCTGCATTTTGGCTTAAGGTTGGTGAGCGTGTTCTGCTGTCTCCACCCAGTTAGGCTTGTCTGGAGGTTTGGAGAGACACCAGGAGCTTGATGCTTTCCTGCCCTCCTGGGAGCCTGGCAGGTTCTGGGAGTCCCAAGACTGGTGTGCAGCTGGAAGTCAGGCAGCCACCCAGGATGAGGCAGGTCCTGTGTAGACACGATTTGTGCTCTGGGTTTTCCCTGACCAGGATGGAGGAGGAGGACAGCAACAGAAATCACAGGGTTGAGCTCACTTGGTTTGAAAATAAACTGACATCTTCCTAGAACAGCTGTGTCAATTACTGGGGGGCACATGAGCAAGACACGCCAATGAGAGGGCAAGCTGTTAACCTAACCAGACCCTGCTTTATTTGGAGGAAGCAGTCCCCCCACGGCAAAGAAACCGGTCACTTTCTTGTGTTAGAAACAATCCTGCCTAGTAACATCTTGTACATAGCTTTGCACATTTTCCCAAGTGTTTTCTTAGATTAAATTCCTGGGCTTATATTAATCTATTGTATTTGTCTGGTTATATTGGCATATTAGCCTAGACACTCATAGTAAGTGAGTGAAAATGTTCCTATTTCTGTCAAGAAATAAAGGCATCAGTTTTCTTTCTGTCCAGGAGCCCTGTAAAGGACAAGGTCTCCCTCAGAGGTCTGCATGGGACAGCCAGTAGGAAGGGGGCACTGGGGAGGACACACATGATTGGCCCATGGGATCTTGTCTTGGCTGCTTGGATGTACAGGGCGGGGGAGAAGGAGAAGCAGAGGTACTTTCTGGGGGCCTGGCTCCTTGCCTGGGGGACAAGACATGATGGGAGGCCCCTGCTGGTCCAGGATTCTTGCCTTGTTGCTCTTGCCCATGGGGGCTTCTTCCTGTGCCCCTTTGCGTCTCACAACCCAAAGCCCTTCCAGTCTAGGGGTGACAGCATCCTCTCTCCTGTCTGGCAGTTTTAACTCCACACGCAGGTCCTAGGAGGGCAGGTGGAGTCTCTTGAATCAGGCACAAGTGGTGGCTTGGCAGCAGCCTCTGAACCACAGCAGGCTCTGGTTCATGTTGTGGTTCCCTCATGCAGGCCTGGGATCCCTTGGGCATAGGCGTCACCAGGATGAGTGGACAGATCTGGAATCAGCTGCCCCCAGGTCCAGCTCCATGCACACTTGGAAGAGTGCTGCTTGGCCCACTCTCTTGATGTCTGTTCTCAGGCATTTGGACAGGTGCATACGAACCACAGGAAGGTGGCTGCGGATGGTGAGAGCCGGGAAGAGAGTCTGATCCAGGAGTCGGCCTCCAAGGAGCAGTATTACATGCGCAAGGTGCTGGAGCTGCAGACGGAGATGAAGCAGTTGCGCAACGTGCTTACCAATGCACAGTCGGAGAGCGAGCGTCTAGCCTCTGTGGCTCAGGAGCTGAAGGAGGTACCTTGGGCTGGGCAGGCTGCCCTATGGGTGAAGAGACAGGTCCTGTGTGCCTGCGGAGGGTGGTGGTATGGGGGCCACACCACTACCTATTCTACCTGCCTAGCTTCAGCCTCCCCTGGTCCAGGGTCTGGTAATTGTCCTGGCTCTAGGCTTGAGTTGGTATGAATACTGGGTCTCAGGGACAGCTCATTCCTCGGGTAGAAAGTGGGACTATAGCCTCTACCTGCCAGCTCCTGACAAGTCAGAAAGGGTTGCTGCAGACAGCACCCAGGATCAGCTTGGCTTCTAACAGGGACCTGTCTGTGAGAGGCCTGACTGAGTGGAGAACAGAGGGAAGTGGCCAGTGACCTCTCAGGGAAGTGGAAAGATGGGTCACTGACCCCAAAACAAAATTGGACAGGGATGGCAGGTGGAGCTAGAAGTCTTTATGAGCTGCATTCCTAGCCATGGTTTTGGGTTTTTGTCCTCACAGCCCCAGGGTTCTCAGGAAGGCAAGGGACCATGTTTTGGGCCTCAGAGAGGCCCACTCTTTGTTTTAAGGGGAGGGCAATGACAGGTGACCAGACAGGCAGGTGGTTCTGAGTGTTGACCAGCTCTGAGGTCCACATCTCAAACATGATGGTCCCAGAGAGCTGGGAGGGGACACTGGCAACGTTTGGGACAGAGTCCAGGGGCTAGTAATAGCAAGAGAGCTGTCACCCTTCCCCCTTGGGTTCATTTGGGTCAGAGGTCATTGAGGCCTATGGGCCTGGGAGGAGTTTGGCTTAGATCTGGGGGTGAGCTGCCCTGGGAGGCCTGCAGCCAGATTATGTGATCTCATTTCTTCCCACAGGATCACCCTGGTCAGGGTGGGGAGGAGGACCTGTCAGAGCGAGGAGCTGACCTCCTCACTGCCCAGCCCAGGTTCATTCTTCCCTTACCTTCTCCCAGAAAGGCCTGTCCTGGGCTGTGAGGAGAGTGCTGGGACCTGACTCCTGGTTGTACGTGCCAAGAAGTGAGCCCAGCCAGTCCCACAGGCTGTTAAAGAACAGGTCGGGTGGGGCGGGGATCCTTGCTGTTCCTGTTAGTGCTTCAGGAGAAAGTCTGCCATTCCCCATGCTTCCTCACCTACCTCTTTCTCCCAAGGCACAGCTTGCACCCCTGAAGTCCCTGTGGGGCAGGCCATGTGGAACCTTCCTGGGTTTCCTGGTTAGGAAGGAGGTTCCCTACTGTGACCAGCTTGGACCAGATCCCTGGTCAGTGCCTTCTATTGTTGGCTCCATTTGTACCCCACTCCCATCTCTCTTCCCCTCCCTCTCCTGTGGCTCTTCCACCAGTCTTACCCTGCTGTTTCTGCCCAGGCTGCCAAGCTAAGCTCCTCTGTGGCCTCTGGCATGCCTGTCACTTTCATGCCTGGGCATGTATAAGGCTCATGCCTGAGGTTCATACCTGGCGGAGGGCCCTGGACCATTAGGACATGATACCAACCACTGTCCCCAATGAATACCAGCTTGGCTGCCTCAGGATAACCTAGCTGCTCAGCCTTGCAAGGTTACACCAATGAGATGCCCCTTTCACAAGGAGCGTATCTGTGTCCTAGTGCCCAGTCCCAACCTGTCACATTCAGTGACTGATGAGCCAGCCTGTCCATCCTCCTGGTCACAACTAGCATAGGAGTTTGTACCCCCATGCCCAGCTCACCAAATGGCCCTCTAGCCTTGGATCCTAACCTCTATACTGTATGTTGTCTGGCCAGGTAGCTTCTGTCCTGGGATGTGGCCCTCAGATCCATTTTGTAGGTGGGGAAGTAGAGTCCCAGGAAGCCAGGCATGTCTGCACCTGGCTGAAGGCTGAGTCAGGTCCTGTGCATATGTTGGGGGCTGCCCTTGAGAAATAGGCCTGCTGGTTGTAGAGGGGTCAGCCTCACCTGCCAAGGCGGGCCCCCTGGTGATCTTGCTTTCCAGGTATATCCTGCTTTTCCTGTTCTAATGGACCCTTATACCCTGGTCTTCCTGTTCTAATGGACCCTTCATGTCTGAGGCCCTGTGCAGTTCCTGGAGTGAGTGATAGGGATGCCCCAGTAGCAGTCCCTTCCAGTCCAGGTGCCAGGAAAGGACTTACTTCCTTCTGTGGTGACAGTTGGGCCTTCAAGACTAGCTGGAGGGAAGCTGGGCATTTGGTCCTAAAGTTGAGGTATGTGGTAGGAGAAGAGCGGCGGCATCAGGCACTAGGTGAGCTCTGCAGCATGGAGTGGACACCCATGTCCAGAACCAGGCGACGGAAGTTAGGGGGCTTATCATGAAAGTGGATAGCCTGGGGGCAAGAGGGGCAGCCCTGGGTATGGAGGAAGCAGCAGAGGTAGGGCCCAGCAGGGGTGGAGGAGCCATGGGGCTCTAGTTCTGAGGGAACAAACCCCATGAAGAAGCACACATTCCTCCAGGGAGCAGGGCTGGGCCTGAGTCACTCAGGTGTGACATCTAACAACCCTCCACCAGGAGATCAGGGGAGTTGGTGAAGGAGGGTCTGCAACGGGCAGGGTGGATGCCCCTGCTTGGACATTCTGCACAAGGTGAGCTCATTCCACCCTCAGCCTCTAAAATTACACATGAAAAACACTCACCTTCCTAGGCACCCAGGAAGAGGTGCCACCAGCCCCAAGCAGACACATCTGCTGCCTCCATCCTGCTCCCTATTCAGAGCCTGGTCTTTGCCTAGCAGCTGCAGCCGTGGTCATTGGGACTTCCTAGGAGCTGAATTCTAGTTTATTACATTTACTTAATTTTTATGAAGTACAACTGGTCATGCATGCCTTGTGGCTGCAGTGTGTACAGCAGAACTCTGGGACCTTCCATATCCCTGCAGAACCGCATTCCTTGGCCTGTCTCAGGACTCTCTAGTCAGACTGGCTTCAGTGTTTGCTTCACGATCACGGGTGCAGCCTGGGTGGTCATTCATCATCTCTTGAAACCTGCTTGAAGAATGGTGGCAGGAAGTGTGGCTGGGGACCCAGGCCCATGGGGCCACAAGGAGAGAGCTCTTGCCTATGAAATCACAGCCCCAGCTCTGCATCACACTGCCCGTCTGGCTTGCATGGTCATCATGGGCACCTGTGTGAGGCTGGTCCCCAGGTTCTCTTCTCTGATGCTCCCTCCTGTTCCTTGTGTCTTTGTTTCCCCCAAGTCCCTACATTATCTGTCCCGAGGCCCAGCATGCCACTGTGGTCCTCAGTCCCTCCTGGGGTAGACAGGGAGAGGGAGTAGAAGCCTGGCCAGAGAACAAAAGCCTGGCTTGGCCTGGGTCCTGCTCTTGTGATCTGCTGGTGCGTTCCCTAAAACCACTTCTCTGATGGTTCCAGGATGGCCATTCTCTCTGGTGTGCGTCCTCTCTATACATTCTTCCATGGACCTCTGCATGAAGGGGATATCTGTCCTTACCTTCCTTTCAGGGCAACTGAAGGGTCAAGGTGTGATTGTGCTGAGTAGACAGGGAAGGAGCTCTGAGGAGCATAGGAAAGGGTGACTGACACATCAGGTGTCTACTGGGCCCCTGAGGCTGGCATTTTAGTCACTTGTTTTTTTAAACCAACAAGTCACCTGAGGTTAGGGGTCCCTCAGAAAGAGGAGCTGATATGAGACCCCCTACTTGCCCACCTTTTCCCTACATCAGGGATGCCACTGACAGCTGGGAGAAGATGCTTTCCTGGGGGAAAACCATACTCCATGGTAGCTAGTTGGAGCTTGTTTGAGCCCATGGATTTTGGGTGTGTGTTGGGTGGAGTTTCCCGCACCTGTAGTGTGGGGTGGGAGCTTGGTCACTGTGGAAACCAAGATGCAGGCCTGCAAGTCTTGCAGTGTCATCAAATGGCACCTGCTGCTGCTGTGTGGTGTCTGGGCCAGTTGTAACCTGGGTGTGGCTTGCCTCATTGCCCACAGGGCCCACTGTGGGCTTGGTAATGGAGCAAGGCAGGACAAGGCTCTTGGGGCCCTGGGGGACCTGCATAGACTCTGCCCCAGGTATGTCTGTCCCAGTCCTGAGTTAGGAAGGTCAAGTCTGCCCCAGCCATATGGGAAGCTATACTGAGTTTTTCTTCTCATAGCCCAGTGGTCCCGTTGCAGAGACCTGTGGGGAGCTGGTGGGTTTTAGATCTTCCTCTCAGTTTCCACTCTGCTAGGTGGCTATGTTTGGTGATGCCACCTGTGTTTGGGCACTTCCTGCAGGTCAAGCATCCTAACTTAGCAAGGAAAGAGGGAGGATTTGACCAGAGATTTTTGGCAGAGAGAGAAGCAAAACCCAGCTTGTGTGTTCATGGAAAGCTGGAGGCTCTGTGTGTGGAGGTGGTGGGCAGGGGCTTGGTCCAGTGAGGGGCTCATGGCCACAGTCTGCTGAGAGCAGCGAAACCAATGAGGGGCTCCAGCAGCATTTAAGCAGAGGAGAAACAATGTAAGAGCAAAGCCAATTGTGTGAGAGCATCCCTGCTGACTGGAGGTGGGGAGACTAGTTCAAGCAGATGAGCTAGTTGTCACCTGCTGTGTGACCTACAGCAGGGTGGGGTGGTGCATTGGATGGATGTTTGTGAAGGCTGAAGCTTCCCTGCCAGGTTTCCTCACCACACTCTTCACAATGAAGAAGAGGCCCTGAAAGGTGCACTGAAGTATGGCAGCTATGTGGGGGCAATGGCCTTCACAGACTACTGCCTGCCTCCTGTTTCCTCTTGGCAGCCCACCCAGGTCCTAGGCCCTGCTCCTGTCTGAATCAGTTGGAGCTGTCATCACATCAGTCTCATTAAGGAGGCCACTTGGAGCAACAGGGTAAAGGGAGATGGTTTGTCTAGGGGACAGTTCTGTTCCAGGGACATTGTCCATGTCTGGAGACATTTTCAGTTGTTAACAGCAGGATAAGGGGCTGCTAAACGTCCATCAACATTCAGGATGACCCCAGAATTTTGCAAAATCTGGGCCCCAGGGACCGGGCTTCTGGCACATGTTGCCAGTGGCAGCCTTCTCCTTGCAGGACATCTGAACCCTCAAGGCAACTTGAGGCAGGAAAAATTTTTTAACAGCTTTATTGAGATAGTTCACATCTTTACAACTCACCCACTTAAAGTGTACAATTAAGTGGGTTTTAGTATATTTAGATTTATGCACTATCACAAACCAGCTGTAGAACATTTCCTCAGTCCAGAAAGAAGCCTAGCAGTCATTGCCCACTCCTCCACTTAATACCCCTGCCCTCCACAAACACTACTCTGTTTTCTGTCTCTGGATTTGCCTTTTCTGGACATTTCATCTGTGTGGAATCATATAGTACATGACCTCTTGTGTCTGATTTTTTTTGTCATAACGTTTTTGAGGTTCATGTTACAACGTGTGTCAGTTGTATGAATGTACCACATATGTTTATCTGTTCTTTAGTTTGTGTTTTAGTAATTTCTCTGGGTTGCACACCAAGGAGCAGCACTGTCAGGTTCAGTGGTAACTGCGGAACTGTTGGAGCAGCTGCCACCTGTTTCCACTGTACTGTACCACTGTAACCCATTTTGCAGATGAAGAAATGGAGTGAGACAGCTGAGGTCCTGTGCTGTTCACCTCCACTTCACACTGCCCGGGGCCCCAGCTCCTATTTAGCCAGCCACATTTGCCCTGACTGCACTGAGCCACTGAACTCCAAGGGTAACAAGGCCAGCTGGGGCAGGCTGCTCACCCCACCTTCCTCCTGGCAGATCAATCAGAACGTGGAGCTCCAGCGGGGCCGCCTTCGGGATGACATCAAGGAATACAAGTTCCGGGAGGCCCGCCTGTTGCAGGACTACTCAGAGCTGGAGGAGGAGAACATCAGCCTGCAGAAGCAGGTGTCTGTGCTCAGGCAGAACCAGGTGAGTGTCTGGCTGGGGTGGATGAGTTGTCTCTGGGTCGTGGTCCTCGCACAACCTCACTTTGCCATTTCATGTGGTCAGAAGGCCACACACTGCTATGAACCAGGTGTGTGGTGGTAGGGTCTGGCTCCTCCATGATCATGAATGAGAACAAGGCCTCTGGCTTTAGTGTTGGCTGACACTAGCCTGGGCAATGTGTTCTGGCCCACAAAAATGGGGGGAAATGTAAGAGCTGGTGAAGAAGTGAAGCAAAAGCTCCAGGGGCTGGGTATCCAGCTCACTTCCCTCTGAGGTGCTGACAGGAAGCCCAAGATACATTACATGCCCTGTGGGACCCTGAAACTGTTGGCATGCTCATCCCTCCTGCTGTCTCAGGTTTGCCAGTCCCCTTTGATTTTTTTATGGTCCTGGGCCTTGAGGGACCCTCTGGGTGAAGCCAGTGGGCCTTCCTTGAGGAGCAGTGTGGAGATGTTCAGGCTGTCACTCTTGCCCTCGAGTAATCTCAGCAATGGGTGGGACAAGGAGGAGGGTCACCTTCACCTGTGGCAAGACAACAAGGTAGTTCTGGACACTCAGGTCCCTCAGTGCCTGTCTCTGTTACTTACCTCTCCAGGAGCCACCCCTCCACAGAATAGGGACTAGGGAGACCTTTTTTCCAGTTTAAATTCTGCATAGGGAAGTGTGGACCCATGTGTTTACAGAACCTCTGTGTTTACAAAAGCCAGCAGAAAATACACTTCTCCCCAAGAACACAGGTATAGGAACTGCACCTCTGGCCACACAGGAGGCCCACTGTGACACTGTGTTGGTCACACATAAGGGTCCTGAAGAGAAGGAGACCTCACCCTTAGGCGCTGGGTATCACATGGTAGAGTCCAGCCCCCTCCCAGGAATCTTCCTCCAGCCTGCAACCATCAGAGATATACTCACTCTGCCTCTGAATGGTTTTTTCCTTATATTTTCTGCAAATGTTACAGAATAATTAGAAATGTTTTGTTAATTTGCACACAGACTGATTCCCCATATCAAGCACAGGTTTCTGCCTGCTTCTTCTTTGTCCACTGCAAATACAGTTGTAGCAGGATTCTGTCTCTCCTATTCACTTGGGCATCTAGAGGTGTGGGTACTGAGTGGCCATGGCAAATCCCACTTCAGTGGGGACTGTAGTTTCTTCGTTTTGAAATATCCTTAGAATTAATGGGTATAGCACACATTTAGATACATATTTTATATTAAAATATTTAGTCAACTATTAATATTAGGTAGTTTTGTAGAATTTAAGATCAAGTATACTGTTGGTAACATATTACATCATCTAACAAATTTGCAGTGTGGATATGTCTGTTCTGGCTTTTGCATTGCTCACACACCATGCACACTTGTCCTGACTGTTAACACCTCATGCTCAGAACCCCTACAGCAGCCATGGAGTCAGCACACTGGTGCTTCCTCCTGATCACTCAGGCTCAGAAGAGTATCGACCCTTCTTTCTCAGGTAGAGTTTGAGGGCCTCAAGCATGAGATCAAGCGTCTGGAGGAGGAGACCGAGTACCTCAACAGCCAGCTGGAGGATGCCATCCGGCTCAAGGAGATCTCAGAGCGGCAGCTAGAGGAGGCACTGGAGACATTGAAGACGGAACGGGAACAGAAAAACAGCCTGCGCAAGGAGCTGTCGCACTATATGAACATAAATGACTCCCTTTATACCAGCCACCTGCATGTTTCCCTGGAAGGCCTCAAGCTCAATGATGATGCTGAGACCCTGGCCAATGGCTTTGAGCACAGCTGCCTGGCCAAGCTGCCACTGGACAACAAGACCTCTACACCCACCAAAGATGGCCTGGCCCCACCTTGCCCCAGCCTCGTGTCTGACCTCCTCAGTGAGCTCAATCTCTCTGAGATCCAGAAGCTAAAGCAGCAGCTAATGCAGGTGAGTGGGTGGGTGTACAGGTGGGCGGGGGTCCACCTCTATTTCTGCCCCCACAACCCACACTTTATTGATGTTACCCACCTTATCTTACATTTGTCTTAAACTCTGTTGCTACGTAAGTGGAACAGGTGGAAGAAACCCAGAGAAGTGGGTTCCTGTTTATGAGATTGAAGTCTCAGTGCTGCCCAAGGTTTTCTCATATCTCTTTGCAGTGCCTACTTGCAGTCTTCGTCTCTCTGCTTTGTGGACATGTCACATCAGGGTTTTGTGTCTCGACTGAATGGAATTCCAGGGTCTGTACTGTGTCCCCTCAGTTTGCATGTCTCTGAGGAGGAAGCCACCTGGCCTCCCAAGCCTCTGTGCAGGGGAGGACCAACAGTGGCCACATCCATGGCACCCCCATCTAGACATGTTACTGAACTCAAGGGGTCTGCCATTTGGGGTGTTCTGTTCAAGAAGATAGTTATATTTACTTGTAGCAATTAAAGGAGACGGGATTCATATCCAAAGCTCTGCCTCCCTCCCAGAGGGGAAGTTTAGCTATTGCTTATATGCACTATTTGGTCAATTGCACATTGATTTCTTCTTTGCAGACATTTACCCTGTTCATTTACTGTCAAGCTCATCCTATTTATAGCTGCTTCTGAAAAATACTGTGCTACATTTTAACATATAGCAACAATAGAATTTAGTAAGAACTGCTCAGGCCCTGAGACATTTGTCCTAACAGTGTCACAGACTGGCCAACAGGAAGATGGATGGGGTCACTACTGGGACTATCTGGGGGTCCCTGCAGGCTTTTGACAGGCCCTCTCTGTGCCTTTGCAGGTGGAGAGGGAGAAGGCAGGCCTGTTAGCAACACTGCAGGATGCACAGAAGCAGCTGGAGCAGGCTCGGGGGACCCTCTCAGAGCAGCGTGAGGAGGTGAAACGCCTCACAGAGAGCCTGAGTGCTCTGCAGTGCCTGCAGGCTGGCAAGGAGCGGCGCACAGCCTTGGACAGTGAGAAGGAGCACGACAGCCATGAGGATGGTGACTACTATGAGGTGGACATCAATGGGCCTGAGATTCTGGCCTGCAAGTACCGAGTAGCTCTGGCAGAGGCTGGTGAGCTCCAGGAGCAGCTGAAGGCCCTACGCAGTGCACATGAAGCCAGTGAGGCTTGGCATGCTGAGGAGAAGGGCCGACATGAGGCAGAGAGCCAGGAGCTTATTGAGAAGGTTTCCCTGCTGGAGAAGGCCAGCTGCCAGGACCGTGAGCTGCTGGCCCGGCTGCAGACAGAGCTGAAGAAGGTCAGTGATGTCGCAGGTGAGACGCAGGGCAGCCTGAATGTGGCCCAGGATGAGCTGGTGACCTTTAGCGAGGAGCTAGCCAGCCTGTACCACCACGTGTGCATGTGCAACAATGAGACACCCACTCGTGTTGTGCTGGACTACTACCGTGAAGGTCCAGCCGGTGCTAGCCACTGCAGTCCTGAAGCACGTGGACACCGCTCACCTGTCCTACCCAAGGTGCCACTGGATGCACAGAGTGGGGCTGGGGACAGCAGCCCCTTGCTGCCCTCACCCCTGAGTGACCCGCGTCGGGAGCCCATGAACATCTACAACCTGATTGCCATCATCCGTGACCAGATCAGGCACCTGCAGGCAGCTGTGGATCGCACCACGGAGCTGTCACGGCAGCGCCTGGCCTCACAGGAGCTGGGCCCCGCCACAGACAAGGACCGGGAGGCACTCATGGAGGAGATCCTCAAGCTCAAGTCTCTGCTCAGCACCAAGCGGGAGCAGATCACCACACTGCGTACGGTGCTCAAGGCCAACAAGCAGGTTCGCACTGTGCTTGGGCCAGTGGGAGGTTGGTGCGGGCGTCTCATCCTCCTCAGCTTCTTAGGGTCTGCTTCATCACAGGTCAGCTCACGCCTCAGGTTGTGGATCATGTTGGTCATGTTACCTGGGGTTAAAACATGAACTTAGTGTTGTGGGGAGGAGCTGGGTACTGAAAGGCCAGACAGGTTGCAGTCTTGCCCTGTAAAAGGCAGACCCTTCCCCTGTTTCCCTTGACCCATGCACCCTGTATGTCTTTGACCCCCAGACAGCTGAGGTGGCCCTTGCCAACCTGAAGAGCAAGTACGAGAACGAGAAAGCTATGGTCACTGAGACTATGATGAAACTGCGCAATGAGCTCAAGGCCCTCAAGGAGGACGCAGCTACCTTTTCCTCGCTGCGCGCCATGTTTGCCACCAGGTAACACTCACTGTTCCTGTCACTGCTCAACTGGTGGCCCAGTAGCTTAGTGTTGGGGGAAGTGCCATTCTTGCTGTTTGTGAAAACCCAGAGGGTACTGATTGTGTCCACTATATATGTAAGATGAGGAAACTGAAGGTCCCTAGTGGCCAGGCTGCTGGTGGGCAGGTTACACAGGGTAGATCTTGGGGCCAATAAGCGACAAATGAGTTTGTCCCCCAGAACTTGGCTGGAAGTTTGTGATTTAAGAAAGGCTTTTCTTATCACCAACCCTCCTCCCTCTCAGTGTCCCCTGTCTGACCCTGTCAGTCAGAGATTGGGGGTGGAGAAGTAGGAGTGGAGGGTGGTGGTGGAGGCAAAGTTGTGGGCCTGGGGGCGGGAGTGGGGGTCGGGGGGGGGGGGAGTTCACAGCTCCCTGCTTTTTCTGCCACCCATTGAGGTACGGTGCCATCTGCTGACCAGTTTCAGGCAGGTCCTGGGGAATGGCCTGGATGGTCCCTAGACGGTCTAGGCGCATTATCAAGGGTGGGGAGGCTGAGGCTCCCCAGGTTAAGTGGGGTTGGAACTGAGCTCAGGGCCTGCTTTTCCTCATGCTGGATGAGGTGGTGGGTGATGTCCGCCTCCCAGAGGGGGAGGGGAAAAAACAAAGTTAGTTCCAGGCTTCTCGGAAGCTTCCTCTCCTGGGCTGAGTGCTTGGGAAGGATCTGTTAGTGCCTCGGCACTGGTATGTTGACCCTCACTTCCTCAGCTTGTTTAAAAAACCTGACTTCTCCAATGGAGCTGAGATCACAAACGTTTTCATCTCTGGGTGAGAGCTAAAATTCACTGTTGGCCCTGGGCCCTGGGGAAAAGAGAGTTGTGGCAGGTGGGCATACCCAATATCAGGCCCCACTCTGCCCTTCAGGGGACAGAGCTTGAGTGTGCATCTCTCTCTCTCTTCTAGCTCCATATTCAGGTGGGGGGTTGGTCACATGTCACAGTTAAGCAGAAGCCAAAATGGCTTCACTACACCCACATGCACCCTTCCTATGCTCTGGTTTGCCATTTGGTGCAGATTTACTAAACTCCTGTGTGGATATGCTAATCTGGGAACAAGCAAAGTCCTTTCCTTGGATTTATCCCCATACTGTTGAGAGCCAGGTGATGTCTTGCCTCTAACCAACTGTCCCGGGGTTACCTGAAGGCCTTGATTCCCTCAATGAAAACCAGCTTCATAGAATCCCTCCCAGAGAAAGTCAAACCGCTGAGGGGGCAGGGCCTCTTCTTCCAGCCTGATGAGCAGAGGGACCCCATTGAGGTCCCCTTACCAGTGTTCATGTCCCCCATCCGGGTCCTTCAGCCATACTCTCATCTCTGATGCCCCCACAGGTGTGACGAGTACATCACACAGTTGGATGAGATGCAGCGGCAGCTGGCAGCCGCCGAGGATGAGAAGAAGACACTCAACTCCCTGCTGCGCATGGCCATCCAGCAGAAGCTAGCACTGACCCAGCGGTTGGAGCTGCTTGAGCTGGACCATGAGCAGACCCGGAGGGGCCGTGCCAAGGCTACCCCCAAAGTCAAGCCCAGCACCCCTAGTGTAAGTCACACCTGCGCCTGTGCCAGTGACAGGACTGAGGGCACTGGGCTCGCTGCCCAGGTGCTCTGTGGCGAGAAGTATAACATTTGCTGTGATTAGGGCCTCAGGGCCGCACACTGCAGCTAACCTATTGCTGCCACCTGTCTGCTTCACTTCAACTAACCCAGCAGAAGTGGGACCGCGGTGCTAAGCTGGTCTTAACCATGACTAATAATGCACAGAGGGAAGGATTTAGCTGAGATGGTGTGCTGCTCCACCTAGACAGTGCAAGTTAGGTATCTGCTTCTCATCCCTTGGGACCATGCTTCACAGCAGCTGCTCTCTTGGTAGGGTAGGGGTTGGGGGTCATGGTGGGGTTGGAGCCATGAGTCCTTGAAAAAATGTGGCTTCCCAGGACCTGGGTGACATCAGCTCTGCTGATGAAACTTGCATGTATCTAAAGCAGCTGTGCTGCCCCAGCACCCAGGGAGCACTGTTAGAGGTTCTAGCTGGGTTCTAGCTCCTTCATTAGAGGACAGAGAATTACTTTGTAGTTTGTGCACCATATCACTACAAATTCTGTTTGGGGAAAAGGATAAAATTTCTCCCCTAAATCCAAAGAAAGAGCAGCCCTGAGCTGAGTCCTCCAGCCCAGGCATACACATGCTCCATGCAGCAGTCACACTCATGCAGCCCCGTCATGCCTGGCTACACCCCAAGATCAGAGCTCAAAGCTTCAGCTTCTCTTTCTGAGATTTGCTCACTGGTCTGGTGGCCAGTGAGATGACATTTTAGCAGGCACAAAGCCTGGGGTTTTTCCAGTGAGAAAAATCCCAGGTGCCCGACTAGCCTGCTATCCTTGGGGGAAGCCTGTCCTTTGTATTCAGGGGTCCCTGGCTTTCAGAGCAGGTTTTTCCACCCTTTGTCCATAATCAGGCCTTCCTCCAAGAGGAGCTTTAGTTCTTATGAAACAGTGCTCTGGAAACCCCCAGCCGCAGCTGGAGCCAAGCCCAGTGTGGGAAAGATTTGCGTGGGCCCAGTGCCAGTTTGAGGATTCACTGAGGAGGGATGTGGTTCTTCCAAATCACTGTAATTGCAGGTATGGTGACAGGAAGGAAAGGCAGCCGTGGGGTCCTCCTGTTCCCAGAAGCTGCATCTATACCAGAGCTTTGATACATTTGGAAGCAGGACTTTTCTCAGTATTTATCTCCCTTTTATCCCATGAGGGCCATGGGGTATGAGGCTACAGTCTTCTCCCTGAAGGGCTGTCGGTGGCCCAGCAAGGGGATTGCATTGCTCTCTCACATAGGTGTCCACTCCAACACCACTCTGCCCCTTGGTTCCCTAGTGTGTCTCAGTTTTCAGCAGACTCCAGAAGCTACACAGACCACCTTGGGTTTTACAAACCACGGGAGTGGAGAGGTATGGGTAGGGCACACATGCATGCTTACCTCTGCATGCCTGTCCCTGGCTCTGGGCTGCTGTACTGATGGGATATTGGTCTTAGATCCCCTCCCACTAGAAAAGGGGTCAGGTCCCCCTCTACATCCATGCAAGCAGGACTTCTGGAGAGTTAGGGTTCTACATTACCACTTCTGCTCCCCTTGCTGAGCCTGGCATGCAGCTTCCCTCTATACTTGTGTCTTCATGAGGCATTTAGAGCTGGAGGTTTCCCTAACACACGCAGGTCTTCTCTGCTGTTGACTAACACACTCATGCTCTCACAGCTCAGCAAGAACTTTTAGCTGTCCAACAGGTGACTGGTTCTAACGCTGTCTTGTTTTCTCCCGTTTTCAGCTGTAGATTAGCTGCCGGGAGAACTCAGCCACCGGCCCTGTCACACTGCAGCCCCTCCCCTCCCCTCCCATGGGCCCACGCAGAGGAAGGAAGGGCAACCTAAAAGTCCACTTAGAAACATTTTTGGATATGCCACTGCAATTCTTTTCAAAATAACATTCCCGAGTTTCTAATGGCAGAGGGAAAAAGCTTTGATGTTCAGAAAGCCGGCAGCAGCTACTTGGAAAGGCCATTTGTACAAGCATTTGAAGAACCTGCTGGGACAGCAGCACCGGCCTCTTAGGAACCCGCTAGAATTACTCACTACTGGGGTCTCCCTATTATAGATACTCCTTTTTCATTTGATCAACCTGTGCACTTTTAATATTTTTGATATTATATTTGCTTCCTTAATTCCTCGCATAGAGACAGTCTCCAATGCTGTGGTCTGTCTTGTTCTGTAGCGTCCCGTTCTTAGCTCCTGACATGCTGATTTGACATCAGCATGTGGCACAGATGTATCCTAGTGTGCAGCTCTAGACTGTTTGATAAAGCCTTTGACCCAGCAAGGAGCTTGGCTAAACATCCATGCTGTGGTTCAGCAGCCTTTTAGATTATACAGCATTGTAGTTCATGTTTGAAATTAACAGTTTTTAAATGCCATGTTCATTAAGAAATCCAGGGTTTTCTGATTCTGGGGTTTTTCATATTGTATTATTATTATTCTTAGGAATAGTTCGATGTAACAAGAAGAAAACTTGACCTTTGCTCTGGTTAAACAGTTATAGGCACTTGAAAAAAAAAGATAAATTATTGAATGAGTAGTATTACCTACAAATACCAGAATTTTCTGGGTTTTAAGAAGTTGTGAAGCATGACTGATTAACAGAATTTTATACAACTGTACCAGTGAAATTCCAAATTGGAATTGTTTTGTTACTCTGGTTGTTTGTGCCAAATTGTGGTACACTTAGGAAATTCTACAGTTGTCAAATTTTAGGGTGTTCTATTTCAACACCTTTTAGTAATCATTGCCAGTAGTGCCTTCATCAGGTAAGAGAGGTGTCCCGGCATAGTTATTCTCAGAAATGGACAGTGAAGAGCTAGTTAGGAATGTTGAAGGCCAGTGTGGACCAATAGGTGTGAAAAGGCATAATACATCTTCACACTTGAACCTGGGCATCTTCATTGAGGGAAAGCAAACAGCAATTGTGTAAAATTCTGTTAGTCAGTGATTCTTTACTGTACAGATCCTTGGAAATTCAGGGGCTGAGAAATGGAAGTGAACACAGACCTTGAGTGTGCTTTGGGAACTAAATGGACTTTATGGGACAAGCTAAGCAAGTGGTGTGAGTAACATGCCATGTTTGTGAAGAGCCACTGGGTAGCAGGGGAGCTGTGCTGTCAGCCTCATGCAGTGAGGTGAGGGCTAGCCATAGTACTTTGCAAATGTGAGAAAAAGATGTTATATATTCTGTTGCTTGGTGTAACTAATCACTGTTAATTTCAGGAAACAGAACTTGCTAAAGCTCCTTAGCAAAAGAGGTCTGTCCAGTTTGCTGAGTGAGGTTGTGTGAATGGTCAAATTGATACTCGAAGAGGAAGAACAAGTATCCTTCCTCTCCAAAATAAAGGACAAATTATAATTAGTAAAAATAAAAGAGTTCTGTTTCCTGGAATGAGCATTTCTTATTCCTAGTTGTAGGGACCCCTATTTTTACTTCCTATTACAGTGTTGATTCATAAGAAATAATGTCACATTTATGATAACTTCACCTATATGGGGTATTTATTTGCAATGATGTCTGAGTACTGTATTTTTTTCTATGCATTGCCTAGTGTCAAGAGTGTCGTCTTTATTAAGATCATATGCATGTTTTCCTGCTAAGAAACCTTTACACAGACCCACACAAACAAATATACAAAAATGGCTTCAGATTCCAAGAAAGTGAGGCAGAGAATGGAAAAGGAATTAGAAGGAGAAATCAGTTGACTTAGAACACAAATGTGGCATGAAATGCTACAAAGCCAGTGCATATAGGAACAGTGGGCCTGGGTGAGGGTCATGTTGGTAGGACCAATAAATAAAGAATAATACAAAGATAAAGCACAAGGCTTATTCTCTCTCATTGCTTTGATCCCCTGCCCTAGATGACTGGGCTTGGCAATGGCACAGTAATTCCAGTACCTCAAACAAAACTAGCCTGTTGGAAATCCTGATGGTGGGGGGAGCTGGAGGCAACCTTCAGGACAAATTGGTGGAGAGGGAGTGGGGTGCCTCCTGCAATGAGCATCAGGTGTCCTGAGTACCCAGCACTGTGGCAGTGAGAGCACATTGCCTTTACACTGTCCTGACCAGAAAGCAGAGAGATTTGGACAACACAGGACCCTTTGTTGTCCAAACTCTTGCTCACTGAACCCAGGAATGACTAGTTGCAGGCACCAAGTTACTTGTTATCACAAAACCATACTCATCTGCAGGAATGTATACAAGGCATGTTGACTCCATCTGGTGATTGGTTATGATTGGTGAGTACAGAAGAAACATCCTGGCTGAGGGATATTCTGCCACTCCTTCTAGTGAGCTTCAGTCAGGCTTGAACTACTTTACCCAAACCTCAGGGTGAAGGCTATCTGAAGCCAGAGTCTCTTGCCCTGTCATCTCCCTAGGACCCCCCGCCCCCCCAACCCTTGGATTTCCCCTGGCCTCCAGGTCACTACTGGCTCCTTCCTCTGATGATCCCTCATCCCTCTTTAGTTAGCAGTGGCCTGAACCTATCTTTAATTTGAAACTTTTTTTTCAAGAGAGACTGGTTTTCCTAACTCTGTAGTTAGAAAAATCTTCCTTCCCTGCTGGTCCATGTTGTTCCAACAGAACCGTGAGGTTGAGACTAAGAGTCTGCAACAGATCTGGAGGAACCTCCCCCTGTAAAGAGTGGACATTGGCAGTGGGCCAAGTAGGGCAGGACCCTCTCCAGGTGGGGATACCATCTGGCCCTTGGTTCCTACCACCTGTGTGGCGCATTGTGGCCCCGGACCAGTCCCACATGTTGGAGTGTTTGATTTGCACAAGCAAAGATGCCAAGACCTTCCCTGTTCCCCCAGTGTGCTCTGGGTCCTTGCACATCTTGCTTTTCATTTCAGGGGTAGAGTGGCAGCCTCCCAAGTGGACAGCATCTCGGGAGCCTGTGTAAGAAGGGGCATGTGGTGCTGAAAGGACTACTCAACCTTCCCCTCCAGTAGGG